CTTTCTCGCTTGTTTGTGGTTCCCCAGCGATTGTGAGATGCAATTTTCGTGAACGACGCAATACCAATCTATCATAGCAATAATTATTATTCCTCCAAGACCAGTAATATGGACACCACCGTCTTAAGAGGCTGCCCCACTTGGAGGGAAGTCAATTACCTCTGTTAATCCAAGGGATTGACTGTTCTCAGCCAACAGAAATCAACTACGAGCCAACCTAATTTAAACACACCTTGCAATTAAGGAATAGGGATGCTAAGTGAGATGTCAACGTCACGCACCTCCGATTAGCACGGTTGGCTACGTGCGGTGCGAAAGAAGTTCGCGACATACACACAATACATAGGTCACATGGAACGGCGCAAAATAGCCTCGTCGCTCAAATCCTGTCTGGCTGGGCGTAACACTCAACCGGTTTCTGATACGCGAGGCGAACGTCGAAATAGCCAGGGCGAAGAGGTGAGCTCGCGATGTAACATCTTTCGAAAATTGGTCAACACTAAGCGGAGAGCAAATGCATCTGCACTCAGGTCACCTGCGCTGGCTCCCTGCTACTAAGCAGCAGGGTACGCGTGCACTGCACGGGAGAGGTCCGTACATGCAAAGAAAATCGACCCGGTGTTAAACGAAAGCTGCAGGAGCATTACCGGCTGTCTCAAGCCGACCAATGTAGACAGCCTTAACCCCTTGGCTGCTATCGGCATCCTCAAACAGCATAGGAACGGTCACCATCCATGCAGAACGGTCACGCCACTGCGGGATCACGATACCAGCATATGCACTTCCTGCTGTCAGTCGACACAAATCATCGAAGGGTTTTAGCAAACGCCACGGAACCTCTCAGCTCATCTCCGGAGAGCACGCGGCTCCAACTGTGGAACGCGCCACTGCGGGCAGGCAACATCGGCAGCTTCTCAGATGAGACCGCAAGTAGCGTAGACTTGTGAGTGGTGAAGACTGCCATTAGGTACAGAGGGACATACGTTGGTTGGGGCATAGCGAGCCGGAGGAAGTGCGGCTATGTCGATCGTGACCAGAACACGAACATCTGCGGTCAAGAGTAGATGATGCCTCACTCATCTGCTCCAATGTCAGCCGCAAGGGGACCGGTGCAGAGCTGATGATTTTAGCTCCATTATTATCCGTGCTCAGACCTGTTGTGGCCACGAATGGGCATCATTGATCTAAGTCGGTATGATGGATACGAAATAAATGAATGGAACCGTAGAACTGTGAAATTTAATACTGCTTGCTCAATTCAGGACCTTACTACCCAGGATACTGACTTTTCACTGAGTGGTCATCGGAAAGACTTCAATCTTGGCACGGCGGTTACGGAAATTGTGCTTTTAACTAAGGCCCGTACAATCTTGGAAATTACTGTAGACGCACATTGGATTCCAAACTTCCTTTATTTCCTTTAAATAAATTCCGTACGTTGCGGGGAAGGGTGCGGAGGGGGGGGGAATGGGGGGGGGGGCAAGGAGATGACCCCCCCCCCCCCCACACCGGTGAAAGGTTACTTGTATCCCGTACCTCGGCTGTGAATTCCACTAAATATCAACATTCCAAAATCGAATCGTAGCCCTCGTCATTGGCTATCGTCTACATCTATGCAGAATATATTGTTTTGCACTCGACCGTCCCGAGAGGCAGCCAGAAATGTCAGTACCCTAATAGGAGCGGAATTCCTCTCCAAAGGCCAGCCCGCAACTCACGGAATTCCAAGCGAAGGTTTGTGTAAATACAGTACAACAGGCAGCAACGGGGCACAAACGCACCCCTTGTGTCGGCATTCAAAAACAAAAACTGAATGGGAGTCATGTTCTTGGTTCGTTCGGTTAAGTCACGTAGAAGAGAAACAATGAAATAACAACACAAGCAATCATCATCAGGTGTGAAAAACACAGCAAGAAAATATTCTTGCTGTTTTTCACACCTGATGATGATTGCTTGTGTTGCAGTCGAAACGTCGTGAGCATTTTATTGTTTTATATTTTTATTATTTCATTGTTTCCCTTCTACGTGACTTTACCGAAAGAACCAAGAATATGAATCCCTGCAGTCACGAAAGCTTTAAATAAAAAAAAATTAATGGGAGTCGTTCGCGGGGGTTATCTGTGACACCGCTCGCCAGAGAAACCTCCACGGCTCCAGCGAGGTTAAAGTCCTCGGTGTCCACGGGGCCTGGATTCTGTTCCTGCCACTTAATCGGAGCTGTCATTGCAGAGACTCAATACCCGGGCAAAACCCCAATTAACGCTGATACGTTGTCAGTGTTTTACGTGTGCAACTGCCACATCTGGCGGCATTGATGAATCAATTTAATTCAGGATTTAGGTCAACTATCTTGGTGAGCAATTTCCTGATCCATCGATGTAAGAAATCGTTTTTCTCCTAAAAGTGCAACATTTTCTCGGAGCCATTTAATTTGTCAAGCAATGGCAGTCGTACGTCGATTTATGGAGACGTGTATCTGGAAGCTCAATTCGAAGTTAATACATTTTTCATATGAAGGACAGGGGTGATGCAGTAATAAGCACATCGTGCCGACAACATAGCGACACAAGTTTATCAACTGAAACTATAAATTACTTCTTATTTTACCAGGTAAGGCCTGCTGAGCTATGTATCCTCCTTTTCAGAAGCAACCTAGCCCCAATTGATCGCTCAACGAAGTGGCTTATCACAGAAATGTTTCGCAGCCAAATACTCTAAACGCATGTTTATTATAATGTAGAGGGAACAACGGGAGGACTCAGAGACAAATCCACACAACCACGGGGAGAGCATGCAAACTCCAAATATTCAGGTGTCAGAATTGGAATCGAACCCACGACCTGATGTATACCAGGCAAGGTAGTAATCGTCTCGCCATCATGGCACCCTTATTGTCAACCATGGCTAACATTTGTTGCGAGGGAAATCTTAATTGGCCATGGGCTTGCCTTCCATCCAACCCGTAATAATCTATTACTGACAGGGGCATGGAAATACCTTTATCCAGCAGTGCATTGACATAAGAGCTGTAAGTAATCGTTTATTTTTGCTAATATTCAGTTCCCTCCATGTCTAAGAGAATGTTATTTAAATAATAAGCATCATTATCATCAGGCATGATTTATCCATGGCTGAAAGAAAGCTGTCGCCATCACTCATGGTGGTGTTGCGATGCAGCAATCCATTTATCTCCTGCACATGAGCCGATCTCATCGCTCCGTCTCTCTGGTGCGCATTCTCTAAGGAACTGTACCCTCCTCCTTCGACTGCCGCTACCCTGGATGCCCTTGCAAATGATTTTCCACCTCGTGTGATTTTCCAGTTTAAATATGTAAATAAATAGAAAACTCCATTGTTCGTCGCAAACACTGGCTATTGTTTGTTTTAGCAACTGGTTCTATTTTTAAGCAGTCAGTATGATATATGCAACTGGTGTACGTTCTCTGTCTCTCAATGTAATCCCAAGCATGCATCTCTGCCAGAGGTCGCAACCGGGTACCCGATACCCGTACCCTACCCGATACCCGGCTACCCGTGGTACGGGTACGGGTACCCGTTTGCGACCCTGGTGCGGCCCGGTACGGGTACAGGTAGGCCGTGAGTCACTGGTGAGTAACTGTTTGTCACTCATTTCCCAACGTCTTGTCTCTTCTCACAATTCAAGTTCCTAGAATCAACCCACCCGCGCCTGCAACATGGCTTCATCCCAGAGGTCGCAATCAGGTATCCGATACCTGTACCTTAACCGTACCCGGCCGGGTACGGGTAGGGTACGGGTACGGCCGGGTACGGGTACCCGTTTGCGACCCTGGTGCGGCCGGGTACGGGTAAGGAATCAGAACCTGTTTGCGACCTCTGATCTTTGCACGCGCATTTCATATTTTTCAGCTTATGTTCCGATTTAGGTCTGTGAATGTCCATGTTTCTAAACCACGTCACACCAGGTAGTACGCACCGAATGAACACGTTCTTTGGCCACGTTGGGGTGCTGCGTTTCATTATCTGCAGTTTTCCAAAAGCACTCCAACTCTGTCCTCTGTACATCATCATTTTTTAAAATTCTAAGTTGCCTTAAGGAATTGCGCCAAGTATACATACTCTCATTTGTTTCCAGTTGTGTTCCTCCAACAGATATGTTAGATTGAACACTCATTTCTTTAGAACTGCTTTTTGTGTTTAGTTTGTTGTTCATCACCCGCACCTCCCATGAGCACGGTTGGCTACGTACGGTGAGAAAGACGTTCAACACACACACATATGTTCAGTTAAGAAAACTGTATACCAATATATCTGTATATATTCATCATTGTCGTCATCATCATCAGCCATGGTCAACCCACTGCTGCACGAAAACCTCCCCAAAGCCATGCAAATGTTTTGTTTATTAGTAAAAAAATAAACAGAAAAATTAGACCGTGTGCGCGCAAAGGAATTGCACTCATGGAAGACGCTTGTTGTTGTTGTATTCAGCAGTGGTAACAACCACGGAGCTTTGCTGCAAAGCAGCTCACGAGAAACGGAAAAAAATAACACTTGTGCTAAAAAAAAACACTCCAAAGGGAATGAAAATATTCAGATCGGATTCTGCCGCTGTGTTTTTTCTCGACCCCCAACTCCCATCCGTCGGTATTACATGACGTCTGGCTTGTTAAGTTGGGCCAACTCGAACCGCAGACTGCACACACACACACGCACAGCCAAAGCCCTTCCCCAAGCCCAGCCCTGTTCTTCCCTTCCAAACAAACACACACCAGCTGCGGATTGCTCCGTTTCACAAAGCGGCACATTGAGGCTCCGAGCCTCCCAAAACATGAAGGGCACGCAAACCCCTCTCCCCTACCTCCTTCCCTCCCACACAAACGGCCACGCAAGCTCAACCCACTCACAAACAGCGCTCGCTCTCTTGATTTGTCCAGCCGCAACTCTACTTTCGGCACACACCCCTTGGTCTTCTCCTCACCCCACCCCCGGGTCCCGACTGACTGACGCCCTTCAGACAGCCACACTTATTAAACTTTTACTCTGTGAGTCTCGGGGCGACGTGCATAACTGCTTTTCAGAGTCTCGCAGAGAGATAGAGAGAGAAAAAGCCACCATCCCCGACATTCACCACCCCACCTCCAAGCAAGTCTGGCTCGTCTGGGTTATTTCAAGTTCGCTGCGTGAAAAAATTGTGGTCTGGCAAGAGACCTGATTCACGGAGCTCGCTTAATTAGTCTGGGAGTTCGGTTTGGGGGTTGCGCCCGTCAAGCCTCTGTGTGTACAGACCGTCTCAAACAGGAGATTCATCAGAGCCGTCGGGAAGGCGGAGAAGAAGAGGCAACAGCAGCAGGAGCAGCAGCAGCCGTTGTTAAACTTTTGAAAACAAAGACTGCTCACGCCATCCACCACTCCGCTCCGCTCCGCAAACCCAGCCACCCGAAACCCCACACCACTGCTCATCTAACATAGCCCCCCCCCCCCCACACACACACTTTCCCTCGTTGCACCGAGAGACCGACCGGCGGCAGCTGTTTTGTTTCCGGGCCGACCGACCGAGCGGACGGACGGTCAATAGGAGAACCGTGACCGACGAAAGGACACCCGAGGGAGGGTCGCGCGACCCGCAGGCATGCGGCCCGCGGGCCCCCGAGCTCACGAGACCGTCATGCCGCTGGTCGTGGCCCTTGTGGTCGCCCTGGGTGTCGGGGCGTTCGCTGCAGATGACCTCTCCGACAGCCACCCCTGGGACTCGGCCGACGCGACCTCGAGCCCAGGAACAGGTGTGCCCGACCCCCCCTTTGACCCTCGCGGAAACTCCGTGTGCGTTCTGGATTGAGGTGCGTTGCGTGCGTGCGTTGCGTGCGAGCTGACCGCCTGCAGTATGTGTGGAGTTTGCGTGTCTTCTCTCCCCGTGGTCGCGTGGATTTTTTTTTCCTCCGGGTCCCACCGGTTTTTCCCCTCCGCACTTAGAATCAATTAGAGTGTCTTGCTACTGCTGTTAATGTCCACGTGATGAGCCCACTCCGTTGAGCTATCATTTGTGGCCAGGTCGCTTCTGAAAAAATAGCTGTGTAGCTCAGTGGGGGCCTTACTTGGTGAAATAACAAATATATATGCGTGCTTTTCTTGTACTGTGATAGCAGTTCCCTTGTTTCTCTGTTAGTTTTTACTTAGGATGTGGGAGCGACTTCTCCCGAGGCGGCTGTGGGGAGTTAGTAATGGGCTTGTCATGGCACTCCGATAGCACCGAGCATCACGTGCCACTGAGATGCTGGATATCTAATCCGGGCAGCCACCTGTGTGATTAGCCTGGCTCTCAAGTGCGTTGATAAGTCTCAGTGCTGCCACTGCAAAGAAAGCAGACGAATTTTTTCTGGCTCTGAGGGTAAAAGTTTACAAGGTGGATATGAACTTTGGAATGCCAAATCACCAGGTAGTACAGATTTACGTATATTTGCATTGCTCTATGTGTTTAGTTCTCTGCTGTGTATGTATTGTATTACTTACTGGTCAGTCATGGACATAGAGTGAAATATCTGTCACGTTTGTCAAGCGACAAGTCAAACTGTTAGATGTGGGAAAACGTTATATCAGGGGACTGCTGGAATTGTGTCAACGGGGAATGTTTTTGAGACTTTCAAATGTGGTTTTAAATATAGAAAAATGCTCGAGAGTGGGAATGTCATGAGGTTTCCTGTTATTGAGAACCAGCTATTTGAGACAACAACTACAAAACGCATGGAAACATAAATAACGTAGAGCCAACTCACGTAACCTTAACAATAAATCATGAAAACGAGAAAAAATAGTTTTTTATTATCTGTAAAATAGCCACTGCATACTTCAAATAATATAAAAACATTTTATCAACAAAATTAAAATAATTAAACAACATTGCAAGTATCCTCTATGGTTGCCAGAATTATTAATAGGCATTGGCCAGCACTGGTGCCGTGTTGCATCATGATATGTATGTTGAACTTCTTTCACACCGTACATAGCCAACCTCACTAATCGGAGGTACGGGGCAAGGTCAACAATCTAAACACAAAAAAGAGTTCTCAACAAATTAGTTTTTAATCTCGATTATTTAACAGTTCATAGCTCCAGTGGCTTCCTAATATCGGAAGAAACAGCGTTCCAGACGGCCGCAGAAGCGCATCTGAAAGTGCGCGATGCGGCGATCGTCTTTGTTCTTTGCCTGTTGTTGACATCGTTAATCACAGCGCAACATTTCCCCTTCGCCCGCTCTCATTTCTCCTTCAGCGGCGCTGGGCGACTACGAGATCGTCCACCCTGTCCGCGTTGCCGCCTCGGGCTCCTTCCTGTCCCGCCGCGTGAGCCACCACGCCCGGCCACCCCACAACCGCAGCCCGCAGCGCCGGCACGCGCCCTCCGGCGATCAGCCAGCCGGCACGGACCCCCCAAACCCGCCGAGCCTGCCGAAACCCCCGGAGCCTCCGTCGGTCTTCTACAACCTGAGCGTGGGCGGGCAGCACCTCCACTTGCGTCTGGAGCTCAACCAAGGCCTGCTTGCGCCCGGGTTCCTGCTGGAGCGCCGGCTGGACGGGAGAACGGGGGGTCCGGCTGGCGTCATGACGAACCGGTCTGCGAGGGTCAGCCTGGAGCGGCCCCGCAAGGGGAACACGTGCCACTTCCTAGGCCGGGTGCTGGAGGGAGGCAAGGATCTGGGCCACGCCGCCATCAGCACCTGCGCTGGCCTGGTAACGTGGCACGTTGAGTGCATACTTGAATCTGTATGTGCAGAGCAATTAATCCATAATAGAGGTTTTTTGGGTTAGATCGCGTAAATGTATAAATGTGTCGTTAAAACCCGCCACCACCCGACACAGCTAACTAGTAAGGGTTGTCACGTAAACAGAACGTGGCCAAATCGTCACTAGTACAGCACACCGGTGTGTTGGAGAGCCAAGCCACAACATTTACAATCTGGCTGTCGCCTGATGAAACTAGTTGTAATTACTGGTCTACGCGTTAGACAGAGCGTGGTGGGGGTTTGCTTTAGCTACTCCGGTTTCCTCCCATCATCATAATCAGCCATGATACAACTATCTACCTCGCTCCTGCACACAAGGCGATTTCATCGCTCCCTGCTTAAACAAATGCTGCTGGAAAACTTTTGTACGCAAGCTTCATTGTCCAATGGAGTTAAATGTTGTTTGATTAAATATTTACGTGGTAAAACACAGTATCGTTTATTCGTCCAATTGCATTAAATAGCCTTATGACTTATACATATTCTGCTAGCATAATGCCGCGGTTTTCTCTGACCTCGTTAGTTTTGTTCCACATGCAAAAAACATATTATCGTTTAGAAATCTGAAAACGGGACCCACTTGACAAAAACCCCTGGAAGGCTCCGTGAGTTTTTTCTGGATTAAGCAGTCATATTATTATCATCTCATCACTCCGTTAATGAATCCCCCGCCTCTGCGTGATGTTTATTCATTACCTTGTACAATATAGGTTAATCCAAGCAAACATATCAATGCTCTTTGATCCTTTATACTTAAAGTAGCTAAACGGTAAGCTCGGTCCCTTTATTTAATGCAAAACACACAACATAATTTCCATATGAATGATTTATTATTGAGTTATCAATGGGGAGAGGCTTGCCCAAGCTGGTATTTCACATGGCCAGCGATGCCTTCGAGCAGAGAAAATTCTAATTTGGCTCTAGACAGCGGATGAGTTTAATTGGTTTGCGGGGCCAGACAGCACAACGATCTGATCCGCAGACTGTAGCAGGGCACCACTCAATACACCGTGGATTTATAAAGAATCAAAGTGCAATTGCATCTCGAGGATGCTATGCGACAGAGAGCGGAGCAACAGGTCAAGGGGAGGTGGGTGACCGTGCGACCGGGAAAATGTAACAGATGTTCTCTTCACGTTAACGGGATGTGTAGAGCAGAGGGATTTTGTGTAAACGATGGTCAAAACACGTTGCTATGTAATCAGAATAACGTCAGCAACAACATAAATCCACAGCCCTTTGCAAATCTGCTGCAAAGTATGGATGTCCAACTTCTTTCGCACCGCGCGTAGCCAACCGTGCGAATCGGAGGTGCCGTGTTTGTCTTTGAAGTTTTTGGCCGTGCTTCACCAAGCTGGTCAGCGTGGGCTGGTGAAGGAAGGAGGAGGAGAGGTGACCAGAACCGATTCTGATATCTCCTGTCACCGTTAGTTGGAAATTGAGCTCAAAAAAGAGATTGGTTCCATGGGCGAGCATGTATATCAAACACTATTTATTGATCCCGGAAAGTTTCATTGAGTCTTAGGTGCACACTGAATTTTTATGCTTGGCCAATTCCATTTGTGAGTAATTGGTTTGTGGGAGGAAACCGGAGTACCCGGAGAAACATCACACATATTAGGAGGTAGCACTCAATGCCTTGCACAGATAGATTTAATAATCCATTGCTGCATCGCCTACTCCTGATTACTTATCCGCCCAAGGGTACGTACGAAACGTGGTATTCCCCGGGCAGTCGCCCACACACAAGTACTCACCAGGCCCTATAACCTGCTTAGCTTTCTAGATCCGATGAGTTCGGGCGCATTCACAGTGATTTAATTTTCAGCGACCAAAGTGGTTGGCACGACCGCCAATGGCTGAGTTAATAAGGGTTTTGAAGGGTGCAATTTACGCCTACGAATCAAAGCTTAAAAGACCGAGACCCCCCCGACTGAGGCGGAACTCTCTCAAGGATTAATTTTCGGCAGGAGTGGCATTTCCTCTCCTGGGTCGGTCTAAACAAGGGGCTACGGCACTCGTTTCATGTTCATCAGAAAGGAGGGGAGGGGGGGGGGAGTGACCGCCCACTGAGCCGAGGGCATCAGGAGGAGGTCTGTGTTGGTCTGGCAATAACGAGAGAGATGTAGAGGCACAGCCAACGTGTGCGGCCCTTTGGATCGAGGCTCAGAAATGAGGAGGGGCTTGTTTGACTTTGATTCCCGAACTTCAGATGTGTTCGCACGAGGAGTGGGCATCTTTTGACAGCAGGAATCACATTTTTCTCGTTTTGCTTCACATAGAACGTTTATTTATTTTGTATCTGTGCCTTTGTGTAGTTTGCTTCAATGGTTCCAGATATGCTCCACCCTGGCTATTGCTCCATTAACCTGATGGGCTTTGTGTATTGTCCACAAGCAGCATCTTGAAGCCTCCAGGAATGACGGAACAATCCAAAAGTGGGTTATTCTTACTCTGACTGGCCTGATACATAACAGAACGCTCCTTTTGCCAAGCACAGTGCGCTGCTGACTATTGACAGGTCCTGTTAATATATATAGGGCTGAAAGCGGAGTTTGAAATGAAACTTTTCTATTGCTTCCACATATCTGGAATGCATCTAATTTAAATTTGCATGTTATATATTCCTGAAGTGTGCCAGACCGTTTGACCAAAAGAAAAAAAACACGTATGATTGTTTTCCTCATGTTTATTTAAATGTCTTGAAAATGCAGTGCCACGGGGAGAATACAGATAGGCATTGTGCCAGAATGAACGAGGGGTGGGGGGGCGATCCATCTTTGTAGACCGCCACCCGTTCCTCACCCCCAACCTCACTGCCAAGCCGCAAATATCTGGGTCAATCCCTGATACAGCGTGTCAGCTGTGTTGGTCTGTATAGTGCCACATGTCTTGATCTCAGGCCTGGCTGTCTCAACAGCCACTATCCTGGTCCCAGGAGATCCTTTAGTTACATAGAGCAACTTTCCTCGGTCATGTTTAATGTCACTCTTGCTTTTCCCAGCAGAACGGGGCTTTCTATGTACGACACTTTTTGTTCACAGAAAGCCAAAACAGTCTTTGCTGATGTCCCAATGGGTCCTCGTTCAGATTGCTGCCCCTTGCTGCCCCTGTGTGGTTCTTCAAATCCAACACTTTCTCTAAATGATGAGAGAACCCATCACGACAGGAAACTGCATGCAGGATGGAAACAAATATATTTAACAACATGCACACAAACGTGTGCTGATAATAACAATATAGATACATCTTTAGTTTTTTTTTTATATCGCGTGAATCACTCCGGTGCATCTCATGGAGTGTATTCGCAAACGGCAAGGAGGCACAACTCCCATCATGCCTTGCATTCACGTTACGTGACCACCACATTGCAAGGGTGAGAGCACTGTACATGCAATTTTGGTGGTCACATGACGTGTGTTGTGGTTCTGGGTTTCTCAAAGCCAATGTGTCCAGAGCTTCCCGTTTGCCTCGTTTCCATGGCAATCTGGGAGCGAGCTCTATTGTCCCACGAAGAGCCCAGAAATGACGCAGAGCAACTTGGCCAAGGCCCGGGTCTCTACACTCGACACGGAAATGCACAGGCATGTAACAAATACATCGATTCATTGAGTGAAACGGTATCTTATGCTTCAATTACACAGCTCTTTGAAGCCACGGGCCACATTCACCACAGTCATAACATAAGTAATTGATTCTTGAATCAAATGGTGACCCTGAACCATGACAATTCAATCACGGGGGTGGAGAATCATTTAGAGATCGAGCAATGAGGCCCATTCCTTCTGTTCCATCACGTGCTCTTCATCCGTCCCTCTCCAAACCCTCCACGGTTGAGTCATGACTGTAAATCAATTCTAAACACACGGTTAATAACGTATTTATTCAGACCCCTATATTATGTCTCCACGTACAATATAAAATACTTTTGATTTAAAGCGTTCGTGACTGCAGGGATTCATATTCTTGGTTCTTTCGGTAAAGTCACGTAGAAGGGGAATAATAAAATAATACAAATATAAAACAATCAAAATTATCACGACGTTTCGACTGCAACACAAGCAATCATCATAAGGTGTGAAATCCACAGCAAAAAAATTTCAAATTTTTTTTTTCAAATTTACAAACATAAAACAATAAAAATTCTCACGACGTTTCGACTGCAACACAAGCAATCATCATCAGGTGTGAAATCCACAGCAAGAAATTTTTAAATGTATGTAATATACAATACGTTGTAGTCATCCGCTTAGTGGCTCTCTAGACAAACGCTATCCAGCAGCATCTGTTGAAGCAAGCAAACGCTGGACCAGTTTCAGCATTCAGGGTCTGATCATCAGGCTTGCTAAACAGATGGTGTTGGGTTTCAGGTGTTATTGACAAGAGCATTCAGTGTAATACGACGTGGCTCTGTTCAACGCCAAAAGCAATTTTGGATACAAACTCATTATGTGTTATTATGGTACATTATAGGTAAGCCAATAGGAAGTCAATAGGCCGATGGACTAAAACATTTAATTTGTATGTGGACATAGAATGGAGGTCTGTTTATACGTTATTACTCGTAATTCTCCATGGCGATGCATAATGAGCTGATCGACGAAAAAATTATCAATTGCACTTTCATCATAGGCATGAGTTCGATTATAAACTGCTGCATTTTAAGTTATTTATGAAAACTATTTTGTCCGTGTTTTTTTATGAACTCAGCTGGGAAGGCTGTCTTTCTTTTTGCACGGAGTTTGAAAAGCCACTTTTTTACTGAAATTCTAACTGTGTGAGTTTGAAGCCATTCAGCGATGTACGGGGTTGCCAGGTGGATTCCAATTCTACTGCCTGCAAAAGCGCGCACGCGCGTGTGAGTGTGTTGGCAATGTATAGGACAACGTTACGCTCTTCCCCGTTACGCACCCAAAAACCGTAACAAACGTCAAATCGGCGACGCTC